AATCCTGCTTGTTTGAGTAAAATAATGATATCCTGGGAGCTGTTTATTCAGAAATCTAGGTGAGATTAGCCCTAAACCTCCATCTGCCTCTGACACATTATGGCAAAAACAGAAATCAAGTCCTAAACAGTGAATGTGAACAACTCATGTCCCTAGAGGTGTAAAAAAATCTTGTCCCATCACCCACAGAGCATCCACCATTACACCTAAGCTAAAGTAAGTGTTTATATAAAAAGAGAAGTGTCCAATTAGTTTTTATCCTAAACTCATTGTGCAAAATTGGTGTTATATACTTTTTGTATATACAGTTTGCATACTGAGACGTAGCTTCACGTGTCAGCCATGCAGAGCAAATGTGTTACATAAACATCACTTGATTTATTGGGATTTGTGTATTTTAATAGACACAACAGCAGGTGGTTGCCTGGCTTATGATAAGCTGCTTCATCAGTATGAAGACGTATTTAGTTTTCATGGTCACACTCTTATATTTTTGGAGTGCTATTTCTTTTTTAAACCCAAGAGGGACATTCAAGTGGAGTTAATTACCGTATTTCTCTGTGTTAATGATGTCTTCAGTTCTGCGTGAGCTGTGCATGAAATGTGGCGCTATCACAGAAGCCAAAATATTTAACATTAAAGCAATTAGTGGCAACAGATTGGTTTTTAGTTCCTGTAAAATATATTTGGAGTGTTTCTCCGGTACAGTGGAGTCAACACTGTAAGAGGCAGCTTAATGTATCATTTTGATGTGGTGTATTTTTTTCATATAATCTGCAGGCTGTTCACCCATACTGTTTCATCAGATTTGACTTCAGGGGAAAGGCCAGGGAGCGTAGATACCTTTATACAATCTATTTCCCGAAAAAGGGACAAAATAGGACAGTAGAAGGAAGGAGGACAATGTGGGTGGAAGTGATGAATACAACGAACAAAACATGAAGTCGTAAGCTCTTACCTAACAAGATGCATTCAGGTGAAAGCTTAATCCCTTATTCATTTCAAGAAGCTGTCCAAATCAATCCAAGATTAGAAGCTGGGATATTTAAGGTAATGAAGAGGAGGAGGAGGAAAAAGGTTAAAGATTTTTTAGTCTTTTTGAGACCACTGAGACATATTTGGCACAGAAGGAGCTCAATATGGAAATGTGCCTGAAACAGATGCATATTTTTCATATTTTCATACATTTATTATTTTATTGATTCTTCAGCAGCCACATTTCTCTCTATCTCAAGCATATTGATTAATCAGCCTATAGACGGTCCATTACCAAGGTCGTGCAGAAACGACGATTGAAAGTTTTAAAGGGGGAGTGAGAGAGGACGAACGGACGGGCAAATTAAAACGTGTTAATGGCAACAAGAACGGGACTGTGTTTGTTTGTGGTGTGGGTGTGTGCATGTTCCTCATTACTGTAGTCCTTGCCTGAAGGAGATAACCTATTGATCACAGTCAATTTCAAGACGTTCTCAGTGCGAGGGCCCGCAACACTCAAGAATAATTATTTAAATCGATTATGTGCTGCCTTATAGTGCAGCTACAGTCAAGCTGTCCTTCCTTTGTGGTCATCCAGGTGGTCAAGGGCAGTTTTGCTCTTCGTCTTTCTTGTCACTTTCTGCAGTCCAACAACAAAATCGTGTGACTTTTTTACTGTCGTTTTTTTTACTGTAGTTAATGGTGACAATGTTGACAACCCCAGAGTTGTTTTGGGTTACAGTCGATATTATAAAGTTCTTGTAGTTGTCTGTGAGCATTGGTGGATATGAGTTTCATTTGGTGCTTTTAAGAGTTGTTTTATTAGTATAACAAAACACAAAAGTAGTTTGCGGCTAATCAAAGAGGTTCGATTTTAGGATTTGGGTCTCTCTTTCTTTTTCTGCCTCTCTTTGATATATCAGTATCTACGCCAGTATCAAAAAGCTGGATGAAATTTTACATGTGGTGCTTACTGAATTCAAAATAAATAAAAAGATAAATATAAAACAAGGCAACGTGTCTTTTCACTACTTGGCAAATCGGCCAATTACAACACAAATTTGGGGGATTTTTTTCCTAACAGGGACTGTTTCTTCAGTTAAAACAATCTACAAAATGTTATATTCTGTAGTGTTTATGGAAAAATGGTGTGCAAAAGCACAACACTGTGGCCAAATTCCATTTGGCCACAGTGTTTTGAAACTGCACCGGAGATCTCAAAAACTGGCATCTCAGTGTTTAATGTAAAGTAAAATGCATATATATATATATATATATATAAACACACACATACATATATATATATATTACCCCTGTGGATACACAGTTGTGGTGAGATGTTTAGACTCATCATGGGCATAAATGTCATGGTAATGTGGGGCTTGTAATGATTTCTTTGAACTGTTCTTTTTCCAGGGTGGAATGATCGTACAGCAAACATCTGTAATGGTTTAAGAAAAATAAATAAGTATGTACACAAGTTTTAATTTATTTTGGACAACAAGCTTCTAGCATAATTCTGGCTGGATATTTGACCAATCTTCATTTAAACAAGGTTGTTTAATGGCATGGAGCTTTTAAGCAGGGTCTACACATTTTAAACGGGACTGAGGTTGTGGCTTTGGCACGGCCATTCCAGAAACATAATGGGCCATTTCTAAACAGCTACAAATTTGAGGATAATCGGTTTAATGTAAGAAAAATTATTAGGATGTGTTACCACTTTGTCAAAGTGTGAAAGAACACCCAAGCTGTCCCCTCAGATGAGATGAAATTGGTTAGGATGTTCAGGAATAACCAGGTAACCACCATGGAAATTTTACATTTCCACTTTTAGGCTTGACTAAGATTGCAGATACTCACACAGACAAGTCAAATGGCTTCTGGAGAAAATTTTAATGGTCGATAATTCAAAGATTGACCTGTGTGGTTACAATGACAAGAGGTTGTTGGAGGAGTAAGGGCGAGGTTCTAAGACCACTGTACCTGTTGTCAAGCATGGTGGTGGTCACATAATGCCCTGGGTCTGTTCTGCTCCCATTGGTACTGGTATATTGCACACGGTAGATGGAATAATGAAGAAGGGGTCTCTCCGAATACTTCAACTTCACCTCAAATCAACAGCTTGGACACAACTGCATGTCCGAGTTGGACAATGATTTCAAACATCTCAAAAACATGATAAAGCAGGCTAACAATAAGCTTCTGGAATGGCATTCCCAAAGTACAAATCTCAATCCTATTGGGAATTTGTGGACTATGCTTCAAAGAAGCCAAGTAGAGTGTTCAAATATCCTGCAAGAATGATGCCAGATACATGTTGGTGGCTACCAATAGTGTTTGGTCTAGGTGAAACTTACTAAGACATTTAACCAAATGTTAGTGGGGTTTATGCATGCTTTTGAGCTTAGATAAAATTCAAAACATTTCAGACTTGTGAAGCTAATTCTTGTTTTATTTTTTTAAGTCATTAAATATGTATGTTGTACAATCCCTGGAAAAAGAACAGTTCACTAAAACCCCAAAGCCCCATGACATTTATGCCCATAGTGACTGTTAACTTCTGAGCACAGCTGTATGTAAGCTGACAAATAAGCTATATCTTGCAACAATGGATGAAGAACATTTTCAAAATTCACTATTTTATACTTTTTTTCCACAGGTCCAAGAGATATCCAAGAAACTGGAATTCCAAAGCCAAGAGTGGGGTGAGGCGGAAGGAGGAAGAGAAGGTGCTGGTGGAGCAGCACTGAAAGTTAAACATATCTCCAAAGATTTACAGATCATCTCCACCAAACATAAAACACCTGCTTATGGCTCGCTTGGCCCATACGGTTGGCCTCAGAACTTCTCACAAGCCCTGGATCAGTATCTGTATCGTCCTCCTCCCAAATCCAAACCTCCAGCTAAAACTTCCCCAAAGGCCAAAAAGATCCTGGGCTGGGGGGATTTTTACTTTAATGTGAAAACAGTGAAATTTAGCCTCTTGGTGACAGGGAAGATTGTGGATCACATCAATGGAACATTCAGCGTCTACTTCCGCCACAATTCATCCCGTCTGGGGAACATATCTGTCAGCATCGTTCCACCTTCCAAAGCTGTGGGATGGGAGGTTCTTGATCCTGCATCTCAGAGTGTTCACACTAAAAACTCAGTACTGCTCCCAGATCTGATGTCCCAGTTGCCAAGCCCTCCTCAGTCCACCAGCTCCACTCCTCCCGAACAGCAGAAGCAGCAGCAGGACATGATGATGGTGACTGAACTCAACTGCCGGATCGAGTACCAGAGAACCAACCGGTCCAAGAAGACCAAGCCCTGCATGTACGACCCAGGCCAGACATGCTACTCAGAAAACACCCAGTCCCAGGCAGCCTGGATCTGTGCCAAACCATTTAAGGTTATATGCATCTTCATCGCCTTCACTGGCACAGATTACAGACTGGTGCAGAAAGTTTGCCCTGAGCAGAACCAGCAACACTTTGGGTGACAAATTCTGAGATATGATACACTGACTTCTCACTCGTCCTTCAAACATCCTTCAGAATCATATGTTCAGTTTTCCAAACACCTTCAACATAAAGATACATCGTCAGCCTGTCAGTGAATGCAGATTGAGTCAAAACTTGTATTGTCTTTTTTAAGGATTTAAGTTTTGTGTAAGCTTTGTGTTGTCTGAAAGCACACTCATTAAAACATTAACGCTGATTTTGAATTTGTGTTTAAAACTTTTGCCTCACGATTATGCATTAATTAAGGTTTCCATCCAAAATTTGACTTGTATTCTTATTTTTTTTTACTTAAAAAATAATGATAATATTGTATATGTATCTATGTTTAAGGACAGAATCACATGTAGGTTTTCTTTTAAAGCACAGACTGACTTCAGCTAATGTTTTTACTATGAAAATGTTTCTATGCCTGTTTGTTTTATGGAAGTTTCCTATTCAAAGAACTCACAGAGCGAGATGAAAGGGATTATTTACTGTAGTCATTATTATCAGTGACACAAAGTACACGTCCGGTATCTGGCTACATCCAGTACTGATTTTACTTTCACCCTTTGCACCTGGGAAGTTTTCTGTTTTTCCCTCAACTGTTGCAGACATGCTCTCTCTGACGTTAAGGCAAAGATTACAGGTGAGTACGTTTTGTTTTTTTAAATTACGTGCACTTATATCTGCTTCAGGAGACCCTTTTTCTGCATGTAAGAGTAGTTGTAAATAAGTCACTTATAACTGTAAGTAGGCCAGCTTGTCACTAAACGTCAACCCTGATAAAAATGTCTGGTTTGAAGATTTTTTCTTTGTATTTTTCGGTCCAAAAGAGAAACACACACTGCTGTCCCAGTTTATTTATTTATTTTGCTGAAAGAAAGTTGACTGCACAGTCTGCACTTTATGCAAGACTTACTATACTCAACACAGCGAATACAAAAGATGAAAGGAGACTTACTTTAACATATATTTATGCTTCAACAGTAATCTGTCTATTAGGCCAAAGTAACACATAGTTGCATAACTATCATGCAGGCACAAGCTGGTTTCAACAAACAAGCCCCTCCATGTCTGACCAGCCCACACGCAGTACATTTTTCAAGTCCAAGGTTTTCCATAACTGCTCCATTGAATAACACATTTGGGGGGGTTTTGTGGGTTTTTTTTTTACTGCCTTTCATTTAATGGGTTGTTTAGAACATCAAAAGCCACATTATTCTAACTCCCTTGTTTACAAACCCCAAGTGCAAAGTATTATCATTTTGAGGGATGAAAGTATTTGTGCACAGGCTTACTCTTCATCAGGGTTTCAAAAGACACCAAAGGATGAAAAAGAACCCCCCACCAGAAACTTTTCTTTTTACACTCTGCAGAGCATTTAAAGCACAATGGAGAGTTGCATCGCACCCCGTGACTTGGTATTTGTGCCTTCAAGAGGTTTTTATTAACTTCTCTGAGCAGTTTAGAACAGCAGGTCGCAAGAAATGTAACACAGTCGCCCCAGGCTGCTTACTAGTGAACAGCTTTAAAATCATTATTCAAAAAGTGTACATTTATTCAGTGACTGAAATCATTCCTGTGTGTTCATCCACTACCCCCCACGCTGCAGCCCCTTTTTCTCAGTGCTTCAGCATGTTTGGGCCAACAGAGGCAGATGACTGCAAAATCTTGCAGAAGACACCTCAGCAACAGCAGCAGCAGCGATGGGTGGACAGGACAGGAGAGCCTGGCTCAGGATGACCCAGAGATGTGGAGACTCCTGCAGCAGGAGAAGGACAGGCAGTGTCGGGGACTGGAGCTCATCGCATCAGAGGTCAGACCCCATTTAGATGAAAGAGAAGAAAATGTGATCAAAGTACCATAAGGAGATTAAATAAAAGAGGAAAAACATGAAAGCTAAATCTTCAGTAAATCTTGATTGGAAAAACAACACGTTATATGTATGATTCCCCTCAGCAGCCTGCTGCTGAGGAGAATCAAAAGTGGCTGTTTAAATGTTTGCTCTGTGTATTGCGTCACACATAATCTCTGTGCAAAATTAGTTCTGGAAAAAAGAGGTGTGACAGGTAAACTGTGCTGTTCATTGTTAAATTAAAATAAAATAAAAGCAACTAGAATTGCCGGCATTAAACTGTGATTTCACAGAGTACCTGCTGTAATCTAGAATGACAGTTTCAAGTGCAAGTCTTATGGAAATGTGCTGTTCACTGTAAAATACAAGCTTTACAGTGAAATACTGTCAGCTGTTTGACTAGCATAAAATGATTATGTAACTTGTTGCTATTCTACTCCTAGAAACACATTTATAAAAATCCTGGTGCGTTAAAAAATCTCAAAACACCCAGAAAATCACTCACTGCTAGAGTTTTGGTCATGGTGGCTCAATAACCACATCACTCATGCACAGCCAGCAATCAAAATATAACTTATTGATATGAACTAAAATATTAAAAGTCCTGTGTGTATTTATGTTCAACAGAGACAAAAAATTAGTGGTGATAATCTAGTTTAGCACCGGCACCGGCATCAAAGGCACCGGCATTTACAGAGCTCAAAGAACACTACAGTCATATGCGAATTTCCTGTATTTTTACAGCTTTTTTTATATAGTGAACAATATTTAAAAAATAAGAATTTTAATTTTCCTCCTACTTGATTGTTCAATAGATGATGTCAGCCAAAAATAAATACTGGGGTAATGAGTCTATAGGCTTACATTTAACGTTAAGACCTCATTTTTTGGTCAGCCAGGATAAAAATCGGTTTTGCGACGCAAAATTCATGAAAGAGCTGCAGACTCCACAGACTTACAGTAAAATACTCCACTGAGTTTGGGCTGAAAGATGTTTTGTTCTTCACAGAGGAGCACATTTGTCAGCAGTGAAATCTCAAGTCATCAGAGTTGTAGTTTCCAGAATTTTACTGTTTTCTTCAGCATTCACCGAGATTTCCGATGCACCCCACCAACTCCTTTTAAGTCAGTTATTTTGACTAAGTGGAAGCTGTGGGAAAAGACGGGAGCTTTTATTCTTTTATTCTCCACCAATTATGCATCCACAGAACTATCACTCACGATGACATCTGAAAGGTTTAATCTTCTTTTACATGTGCTATCAGTCATTTGCCGCTCTGAGCCAACTCCCAGAGGAGAGACCCTGCTTTTTTTTCATCTTCAGGAACATAGTCAAATGATCCCATTAGGTTCCCCCCACTGATTTCTTTCACTGATCCCCACATTTAAAGCTGAGACAGAGAAGGAGGAGCGATCGTGTATGTGTGTGTTTGTGTGTGTTTGTGTGTGTCAAGATAGTGTTTCAAAATGTCATGGAAAGAGATTTATGTCACTTGGGGGACTAGTTTTAAACCCCACTGGAATGATTGAGGGATCCCTGAACAGTGACAGGTTTAGTAAAATAACAACCCAGAGGGGGCGGCTGAGGAGGACAGAGAAAGAGAAAGCGAAAGACAGTGAGAGAAGATAAGCTGAAATGTGAGTGGGAGAAAAAAAGACTGAGACAGGGAAAAAAATTCATTTACATTCATTTCCTTTTTCCGCAGCTCCATCTCTTTTCTGACATTTGACACCGTGCTGAACTTTGCAAGGATTCAGTACTAGTTAGATTCTTCTATATTCAGCCCTCAGCATCAATATAGTACCTCTAATGCACTCTGATTTCTTTAAATAATCAAATATGGCTCATTTGTAGCTTATACAATAGGCTGTTAAAAGCATCTGCTCCATTTTTGTTGCAATAAGTATTTGCAAAACAGTCGTCCTTCTGAAGATAAATAAAAGCTATATCTGGTTAAAAAAAAAACAGGTTATATTTGGTGACAGACTTCTGAAAATATAAGTAAGATAAAAATTTACTGCAGGTTTTGATGCTTTTTTGTTTGTCCCTCCAGAACTTCTGCAGTCGTGCAGCTTTGGAGGCACAGGGCTCCTGTCTGAACAACAAATACTCTGAGGGATACCCAGGACAAAGGTAATAAGCATCGCCTACTTTAAACATATATTGATTTAGTCATTAAAACTATTTTCAGAAGCCAGCACATGAAGCTTATAAAATTTCATTTAAAGGCAAATGGACTTTAAAACAAAAAGGTTTGCATTTCTTTTCCCAGCATAATTCAGGGCTGTTCACATAGCATATAGCAATATAATCCAGCTCAACACAAACTAAAAGTGCACAAAGTATATTAAAGGACAGTGACATGATATAGAGTGATATGACAGCATACGATGCAATACAGTCTGTTGAATATGATATGATTGAATGCAAAAGAAAGCAATACTATGATACTATACGATGTAATAAAATCTGATGTGATACACAACAGTGATCAGTGTTATCCATCATAGTACAGTTTCAGTAAGAAACAATAACATATAGCCAAATAAATGGAACAATACATTATGACACCCCATGATATGACAGAATACAAAGTTTGAAGATGTGATAGGATACATAAGGGTACTGCATGATTCAGTACACATGATTTGTTGCAAAATTATACAGTTATCGTACAATATGATAAATTACAATATGAAGTGTGTGCGTTACAATAACATGAGATGATTCTATGTTTCTTTTTTTGTTTTTGTCAGATACTACGGAGGTGCAGAGATTGTCGACCAGATCGAGCTGCTGTGTCAGAAGCGAGCTCTCTCGGTCTTTGGTCTGGATCCCAATCTGTGGGGCGTTAATGTTCAGCCATACTCTGGATCCCCTGCTAACTTTGCAGCCTACACCTCTGTGCTGCAGCCTCATGACCGCATCATGGGCCTGGATCTGCCTGATGGGGGACAGTGAGCCAATATGTCAAAGTTCATTCATGCTAGACATGCTCAAGCAGAGGATATTTCCATTCCCATAATAACATTTTATACAGAGCTTTTTGTCCACCCTGCACCTGCTCATCTTCTGCCCACGTGCGCTCTGTTATAATTATATATTTTGTCCTTCACATTTCAGCCTTACCCACGGCTACATGTCAGACAACAAAAGAGTCTCAGCCACCTCTATTTACTTTGAATCGATGCCTTACAAAGTGGATGTAAGTAGTATTCAAACAGAATTAAGGTTTCAAACCTGTGATCCATTTAAAGACATAAGAAAGTGTAAGCTGTTCTCTCTACCCCCTGTTCCTGAATCCCCCTCAGCCCCAAACAGGTCTCATAGATTATGACCAGCTGGAGAAGACTGCTCGCCTTTTTAGACCCAGACTTATCATAGCAGGAACCAGCGCCTACGCTCGTCTCATCGACTACTCTCGCATGAAGAAGGTGCTTCATTTAATAATGTTTACGAGAAGGTGTCTCAGAAACTTCCAACAGCTGTTAACTCTACCACAAATCAGATTACTGAGTTACTGAAGCGTGATGAGATACTTGGACATTTAAAGAAAAGCTGAGAAAGTAACAGGATTTCAGGTTTGTGGGGTTCATGTTGAGCTGTGTGTCTTTTAGTTGTGTGCGGAGCTGAGTGCCTACCTGCTGGCAGATATGGCTCATATTAGTGGCCTGGTGGCTGCAGGAGCTGTTCCCTCTCCTTTTGAGCACGCTGACCTTGTGACTTCCACCACCCATAAGTCCTTGCGTGGAGCAAGGTTAGGATCTGAGCCCTAATATGAATTAATTTTAATAAGTGTGTTGATAGTTGCCTATTCAGGTAAGAGCTTTATACATGTGATTCTGCACATGTCCAGCTAAGCACATTTGGTGTCCTTTCTCTGCTCTGCAGGGCTGGCCTGATCTTCTACCGGAAAGGTGTGAGGTCCGTGGATAAGAAAGGCAGGGAAGTCCTTTATGACCTCCAGGACAGAGTGAACTTTGCTGTGTTTCCATCACTTCAGGGAGGACCTCACAACCATGCCATTGCTGGGGTGGCTGTCGCCCTCAAACAGGTCAAGATGTGTATTTTAATCTTTAATGTTCAATAATAGCCCACAAATTCAATTAAAGGGGAAATCCTCAGACAGAACATCAGCGTAGGTCGAGTAGGTCTGGATTTGGAGTATCTGAATACAATCTTATTCTCTCACACGACATGATTTCTGCTTCTGCAGGCTTCCACTCCCATGTTCAAGAGATACATCCATCAAGTGCTGCTGAACACCAAAGCCATGGCCAATGCTTTGTTTAAGAAAGGCTACACTTTGGTGTCAGGTGCTGAGTGAGTCTATGATGTTGAAATTGTATATTTTTGCATTAAAAACAAATTATTTCATACAAATTAAAATAAACGACAAATGCTTTTGTTTTCTTTCTCTGACTATGAAATTAGACTCAGCATTTATACGAGCAGTGCATTTCTACCTCTCCAGTGCCTGATGCAATTGCTTTTGGATCACTTTGCATTTGCTTCAGCCTCATTTGCATTCTGTTTTTAAAACTTTGGAAAAGTTCACTTAAGCTTCACTTGACAGTTGAATGGAAAAAAAACAGTGAGTAATATTTTACTGTAGCAGCTGCACGTCTCCTCATTGTCTCCAGGAAAGACTTGATGAGAATTTCACCATCAGAAACATTTCCTCAAATACAGATCTTATAGATCTATCCTCCTCTTCCGTTTCTCAGGTGGAACAGACAACCACCTGGTTTTGGTTGATCTTCGACCTCGTGGTATGGATGGTGCTCGAGCTGAGAGGGTCCTAGAGCTGGTGTCAATCACGGCCAACAAGAACACCTGTCCTGGAGATAAGAGCGCCCTCACTCCAGGAGGACTTCGACTTGGTACTCGCTTTAATAGAAGTGCAGCTTGTGCAGAATGTGTTGCAAAATTTAGTAATCTAGGAAAGAGTTACAGGAGTGGAGCTACTTTGGACAGACTCTGTCAGCCACTCTGTCATTCTGCCCGTATGGCAGCAGACCCTTTCTTCTCTCTCGGAGTGTCTGACTCTGTGATGTGTCTGTGTTTCCTGCTACATGTCACTGTATCTGTAGTTCTTATCACCAGACCATCATTCAGTATGTCACCATGTACCTCAAACCAACCCTCTCTTTATGAACTATTGACAACAATCAAACCATTTAATCTAACGATTGTTTTATCTGTCACTTTCTTACAGGAGCTCCAGCTCTGACCTCTCGGCAGTTTAAGGAGGCAGATTTTGAAAAAGTTGTGGAGTTGATTGATGAAGGGATTCAGATTGCACTGGACGTGAAGAAGAAGACCGGTGAGGGAGTTTCGTCTAAACCTGTGATTCATCCAGTGGGAGTGGTGGTGTTTGGGGTTTTGTGTACAGCAGATTCACCATGCTGACATGTTGTTTGCTTACATAGATTACTAGTGCTCGAATATGTGTTCAGCATTCATTATTTCTCTTGCAGCTAAGGACTGTGGATCATTTATTAGCTGTGAGTAGGGTTCAGGAAACAAGCAAAAAGAATAAATGCAATTTTTTTGCCTTTCTGTCTCCAAACAGGAAACCTGGCTAGCTTCAAGTCATTTCTGCTGGAGGACCAAGATACAGTGTCACGCATCACAGAGCTCCGCCAGCGGGTGGAGCTATTCGCCAGGCCCTTCCCCATGCCGGGATTTACTGACCATTAGAAAAAACTCAGACAAACAAGCTGTAATGCAGAGTGTTACACTTTGTTTTGTTTTTTAGACATACATATAATGCATATAATAATATAATAATTTGGTAAAAAACAAACAAACATCAGTTTAAATTGATCAGAGTGCAACAATACAGCATGGCATTTCTACATTAACTGGAAGCATTAAAATTACCAGCTGAGCTGAAAAATGTAACATAGTAACAGATATTGATATGGACAGAAATGCCAGGTGAGGTGAATGCATTAAAAATAAATGATAAAAGTCACAACTCGTTAAAAAATGACTCTAAGGAGGTTGGAAAGAAAGCAACTCAGCTTCTCAGCTCAGCTCCAAGAGACTTCTTCAGTTCTAACTCTGCATTTCTAAGTAGCATGTAAACATTCATTATGTATAACATTGTACTAATGCAGACATTTAAAATGTCTTCATAGGAGAATGTGTATGTTTTAAAAGGTAATGTAAACTACTGCAGTGTTCTTATAGAGTGTTATAAATAACTACTACATACACTGCAGTTTATAGCTAATCTGTGCTAAGTTACATTCAAGTGGATACTATTAACTTCTGTTTCATTGTATCAGCGATCAATTTAGTGGAACAATTTATTATATACATTGACTATAAAGGATCTAAAGTGATTTGATTTGTTACTAGCTTGCAGTGATAGGTGGATAGTAGTGATTATATTCATAAAAATGGTATTCAATAGGACTAGAGTGTAAATGGTACACAGCAATGGACCTAAATTGTGAGTTAACAGCACTCTGGAATTTGCTTTCGCCTTCTTGTCAGGACTGTTGTTTGCTGCCCAAACACAAGAAGGACCCTTATGCTTTCGGGTATTTTTGGCATTTGGTTGCTAAGTCTGCTTTAGAGCTTTTACTGACTTCAGGCTTTGTTCTGCACTCTGGGAAACTTGCAGCAGCTGTGTTGGGAATTGAGCACAGGTTCAGTTTACATCCACAGATCCACTAACATGAATAGAAAACAGTAAAGTAGCACAGGCGTTTCAAAACAAGGCTTCAGATTTGTGTGTATGTGTGTGTGTCTAATGTAATAGTAGCTTTTGTAGTTTTACTTTGACTTCTATAGAAATCATTTCTGAGGAATGTATAACATGAATATGCATCTTTTAAACTGCAATAAAACTGATGCTGAATATTTACATGTTTTTTTTTGCATGTATTTTTTTTACCTGCTGCTGAGTTGCATGTCACCGAGCAGTTGATGATTTATGTGTGTTATCCCAAGAGGGAGGAGCATCTTCAGATTCTGTAAACACTGATCCATGTTAAGCTGCTGGAATTTCCTCTGCTCATGTCCTCTCACTGTTTACTTCTGGGAATAGTCAAGAAAAAGAAAATAAAAAGTAGTCCCCAAACAGTGTCAGCGGATCACAGCTTCAGGTTCACAAAAGGAAAAAACAACTTTGGATCATTTGATTTGTTTCCGTAGTACTTTAGATGTCTGAATTGTTTGGTTTGACTTCCTCTCTCAGTTGGACGTTGATATTTTTTCTATTGAATAAGGTATTTCATGATATGATTGGGTCCAAAATTTGTTGGAGGAACAAAAATTATTTTTGTAGTTTTGTCTCCGTAAACCACAAGTGAGCAAATTAAGGTTTGACTGTGCAGTTCAGACTTTCAAATAAATAACAGAAGTATCACATTAACATGCTACTATTTTTATATAACATTACAGCCCATTTTCTGAAGCTCAAAAGTACTAGGACAAACTAACATAATTTTAAATACAAGAATTGTTTTATATATTGGGATGAAAATCTTTTGCAGTCAGTGACTGCATGAAGTCTTGAAGCTGACATCACAGAATACTGTGTTTCCTCCCTTGAGATGCTCTCCTACGTGTTTACTGCAGCTGCCTTCAGCGACAGCTAGTTTGAGGGTTTCTCTGCCTTCAGCTTTGTCTTCAGGTGACTGACTTGGTCATTGAAGAATATCCCATTTATTTATTTTGTGAAACCTGTGCAGCTTCTTGCTTTGGATCATTATCCATTTGCACCGTGAGGTGCTGTGCCATCAGTTTTGCAGCACTTGAGCAGCAAGTATAGCCCTGTTCACGTCACGCCTTTTGGAAGTTGGCAAAAGCATCTCAATTTGAGCCTGGATTTTCACCTAATTTGTTGTCCCCAGTCTTTTTCTTATTGTTGAATCATGCACTCTGATCTTAACTCAGACAAGTGAGGCCTGCAGATCTTTAGATGTTGTTCTAGGTTCTTTTTTGACCTCCTGGATGAATCGTCAAAAAAAAAAAGAAATCTGCAAAATCTTTTAGCTTACTTCACTTTGTCAAACAGTTTCTATTTAAGTGATTTCTTGGTTCAACAGATCTTGCAGTAAAGCAGCAATTTTGAAGTCCTATCCTAGCTTTTGGAAATTTGACATAATGAGCATGGCACGGAACGTGACTGGGAAACTGAGTGAAACTGTAGGCCTATATGACAGTGACAGGTGAATTACAGATTAGGGTTATCCTAAAAGCCTTATTGTGGGACCGTGAATTAAAAAAGAAAGTTTATGTTTTAATAATTAAGACCTGAAATTAGCAGTTGAAACCATAAACTCATCAGGAAATTATTTACTGAGGACATGGATCAAAGGAGCAGTAGAGCAGCATCCCTCAGGTATGCAGCCTCTTCGACTCAGACACTACATCCAGTTTTTACACACGGTCTGTGTCCATTAACCCCTGCCACAGCATCCAAAACTAGTAGTTCCTTTTACTTTTTGTATTCCCACAGAACCGTGTTTAACAGCGTTACACACAGACTCACAAGGTGCTGGACACATCACCATAGCTGCTCGTGACAAAAGCAACCAGGATGTTAACATAGATAAACATAAAAGTTGTTATTTAATTTATATTAAGGCGTCATTGAGTGTTTTAAAGGCACCTATAAAAATATATATTATTATCATTGTTATTTATTTTAGAAATACTGTTGCCTTATGTCGTTGCATAATTCTAGTAAACACTGACACCTTATAAAATACTTGACAAGATGAGAGCATTATGTAACACCAGAATCCTTGACTATCTTTATTAAACCTTCAGACCTTCCATTTTTGTTTATTTAAAAGCTTCCTCTCCCACTGTTTCTCTGCAGTAACATCTTTACCCCCCATAGACACATAAAAAGAGCTTGCCTCCTCTTTCTGTCTCTCTGGGCTGAGAGGATATTTCATTTTTGATGTATTTATTTATTATTCTGTGAGGATTTCCCCTGAGACACTGAGTGCTTTGTAAAGCAACACTAAATTAGCATCAAACACGAAGCGCTGCTGCTGCCTATTGGAGCATTAAATATTTAATTTACCAACAAACTGAATGGACTTTTGTTTTGAGTCAGTCATGTCTTCCAGTGTTTTGGATGAAGTTCATTGCTTCAGTTTCTGCCAGAGGAATGTGTGCCCTCCACAGAGACCAGGCAGCAGATTCACAGGTTAAAGGTCAGGGATGTTCTCAGCTCTGTCGTCAGAAAAGACACACAAACAAACCCAAGGACGCACAGACACATGCACACACGGAGGACCACAACACAAAAATAACAGCTCATCTGCTTCATCTCCGTGCCTCTTTCTCATGACCTGACAGCTCCTGTGGGTTTGCGCGAAACCGTTTGACCCCCTCATGTTCTGTCGTCCTAGCTCTCCTTACTGCCACAGCCGTCCTTGTGATGTTCACAAGGAGGAGAATTTTTTGATGTTCACTATTCTTCTTTCAGATGGTATTTTTTTGTTTGTTTGACTGTTTGTAAAATTATCTTTTTTATAAATGAGACTGACCTTCAGCCAAAACACCAAGAGATCCGCCCCCAAAAACGATCACGTTTGTAATTCGTGTACGCTTGAGTAAGAAGGGCGTTCTCCTAAACGTTCCTTCAGTTTGTGTTCATTTTACTTTTCTCTGCTTATAAAAAACAACAAACATACATAAAGTAGAGATGAAGAGGCGTTCCGCATGAGCCTAAAATCTGAATTTGTTTTTTTCCTGTTTATATTTCAGTCTGTATGTTTGTTCACCCACCATCCACTACTTTAGGAGACAGATGTGAATATGAATATTCTTAATACTTTAATGCTGCACTTTACACTGTGCAAAAACATCCAATATTCCAATTAAATGTGAAAATTGTGGTTTTATTGTGTGTTTATTCCTTTTTTTTTTCATTGTTCTTGTTGATTGTAAGATTACTTGGTTTTGTTTTAGCATATTTAGCATATTCGGTGATGCAGAAGCCCAAGAAAGTTTATTTAACTGAACAAAAATTGCTTCTGTTTGCAATATGGAAAGCATACTAAATGTATTACCTTGTTTTAGATTAAGTCATTGTGATTTATGTGTAAGCTAATGTAATTTAATTTCTTTATATTTTGCTTCCAAAGAGCCAGGCTTTCCTGTAATCTTTTAAAGTTGTCTTGAGCAACAGTGCTCCAAGCTTTCTGAAGGTCTTTCAGATTTTTTCTTTGGACATTGGCTGCTTTTTCACTCAGTTTTAGTCCAGTCTTCTATTTATTAAGTGACTTAATACTGACATATGAATTATTCATGTGTAAAAAATGCACCTAACTCACAGTATGAACCAATGTTGTATCTACACATAACAGGAAACTTGGCAATTGTTAGGAACTTTACTAGCAGCCTGTCTCAGAAACAACTAATTTGTTCCCATTTCTCAAAGTTTGACAGGCATAAAATAGTATTTCTGCACCAACGAGGTGATTCAAAAATAGCTATTAGCTGAAAACTTGGAATATCTCAGCCTGCTGTGCAATATGCCTTCAAAATTGTGAAGGAAATGGACAAGAGGAGGACAAAAGAAGAAGTGGTCGGCAGGTAAACAGTATCTGATAGTCATGTCCTTAAAAAACAGGAAAGTAAATCCAGCAAAGACCTGGCACAGGACCTGAATGACAACAGTGAGTGTTTACAGCCATCTGTAAAAAACAGTGGAGCTCTGTTATAGTTTGGAGATGCATATCAGTCAGAGTTTTGGGGGATCTTGTACAAGAAAGGTATCGTCAGATTTTGGTCTATCATGCAGTACAATGTAGAACCCACCTGATTGTCAGCAGCTTCATTTTTCAGCATGATCCCAAATATGTTGCCAGTACAGTAAAAGCATACCTGGATAGAAAAACACACAATGTATTGGCCTCCCCATTGACCTCAACATTACTGAAGGTATCTGGGGAGGCCAATCATCTTGACAGAGAACAAACCAAAAGGGACCAACCATCCAAAGAAGAGCTTTGGATGCCCTTCAAGAGAAGGAGAGAACGATTCCTGAAGACTACTAAAAGAAATTATTGGAAAGCTGCCTAAAACAGTTCAGTCTGTGTTGAAGAACAAAGGTGGTCATACCAGATATTGACTAGCTTGGAAGAACTGTGCAGACTGTTTTTATATTTTATGTATGTTTGCACCTATTCCCAGCAAAACACAAAGAAACGAGAGGTAAATTAAGACTTTTTCATGTCCTATATATTAATGGAAAATAAGATGGTGTGTGTAGGACACGTGCACAGGTTATACATCAAAGTCTTTCAGGGGGAGGACTGTTGAGCGTCCTGCCTTGGCTGTCATTCATCAAAGACGGTGAGCTCCTGTCACACACACTGGTACACACGGATAAACACAAATACAAAATGCAACCACACACATTAAATGCAGTTGTAAAAACACTAATCAGGCTGCAGAGTGACAGCTGCATTGCCAACAGATGGATCGGTTCCATCAGAGTTACTGAATGCGTAGGTGTGGAAAAAGATCGGTATCTGGCTCCGTTCGGTGCAGGTGTTTGAGGAAAGTCACCTGTGTATGCGCTGGAAAGTGCAGAGTGACAACAAAGGCTCTTCTAAACACAAATAACACTTTATTTATTGAAAGAATTCAGCAAAGTTGATGCATCTCATCTTTTTTCATAACTTACACAGTCATCGCTGAATTTAGTGGCTGCTAAACCTACAATCATGTGACAGTTATGAAGGAATACATGCAGTCTGGTCACACTAATATGACCTTCACTGTGATGCAGCACAGCAGGCCAGTGTCATGTTATGAAAAGCTGGTGCAATTAAAGCTCCTCACTTGCACAAATAATGAGGAAAACAAAAAAATCAGCAACAGAGGAAGAGTGTA